ACTGAATACCTACTATCCTGTTTTTGTTCCCCGTCCGGAGGCCAGGAAATAACAGATGTAGATAGTTTGACGATAGCAGGTTTGAGAAAAGATGTAAATATCCAGGGAGGACTATACTTTCGAATTTACACAAAAATGTTACAGTTGTCTAAACGATGACTAATCGTCATTGGGAAGCAAATGGAAATGAAACAGTGGAAGGAACGAAATCATCACTGAATGCTTTGTAGTTTCTTGATGACTAATCGTACAGTGCTCTGTTGTTTCGTGATTTTCTTTTCTTTCATTCCTATACGGAGTAGCGCTGACGTGGCTTGCACTTAAAAATAGCGATTCGAAGAGTTACATACAGAGGTATATTATGGGCCTAATTAGTTGGCTTCCAAAATATGCCAAACTAAAGATTTCGGCTATTGTTTGGTTTGTTACCAAAACTTGCCAATTCCTCACATTTTGTTTGTCAAATCTATGGTAAAATTTTTTATCTAATTTTGTATTGTCAAATCTTTAACATGGTAAATTTTGATCGCAAACCAATCAGACCCTATGTTTAAATACATAGTAAAAACAATATCTTATAAGTAATCTAGAATAGAGGGAGTACCGTCCAATAAAAGATGCATTTTTTGTGTTCTAGAAGCCAAATATTTTTAAGTTTGATTAATAAATTGAAACAAGTAACATTTATGATATAAAATAATTATTAATTAATGATAAAATTTATTTTCACAGTATTCAAAGTCATAGTATCTATAATTGTATCTTTTTTTTGGACGAAGGTAGTAATAATACTTCATCATAAAATGAAAATCGGAACGCCTAGCGCCGGCCGTTCGGACGCCCACGCATGCAGTTGTTTCCCGCGCCGTTTCGCGCGCCCACGCAGGGCCCGTGTCGACCCAAGCGTCACCAGCATCGAGAAAGAGAGGGAGGGGCGGTGGATGCCTAGCCGGCACCGGAGGAGGAAGAGACACCGATGCGAGGCAGCAGAAAAGTGAGGAGAGAGATGCAACACCCAATCTATTTTTGAAACATCCAAATGCAACATTTACAACATACGTCTGAAGGCAGATGAAACACTTGAAACATGCATGCGAAACACTTGCTGCAACACCAGATCTACTTTTGAAACATCCAGATGAAAATACTTGCAACATACGTACGGAAACTGAAACACTTGAACATACGTCTGAAACACTTACAAAAACATATGCATCATCTAGATGAAACACTTGCGAACATACGTCTGGAAAAACAGATGAAACATTCGGAACATACACTTTAAACATATGTGTATAGCCATTGCAACATGTGCAATATCCCGATCTACTTTTGCAACATTAAGATAAAACACTTGCAACATCCAGATAAAACATCTTAAACACTTAAAACATACGCTTGCAACATAGGCTTTCAAAGCAATGTCATCTTGTTGCTTGGACAAATGGAGGCTTGTCATTGTGGAGCTCGGCGCCAACGCGGAGGTCAACGGCGGCGCATGGAGCTCGATGGGACGGCTTCACACGAAGCTCTCCCCCTCGCCTGCTTGCTGGAGCATCTGTTGTGGAGGCTTGCTGGCTCGGTGGAGGCGGCCACAGCGAGCGGGCCGATCGCGGTGAGCAGGCAGCGCAGTGGAGGCGGGCATCTTGGTGGAGGCTAGCAGGAGCGAGAGAGGGCGTGAGAGAGGGCGCAGTTGAGAATTTTATTTTTTCTGTAGGGTGCGAATGAGAGGGAGTAAAGATGCAATAGCGAGTGGGGGAGACGCGTCCATCCGCACGGACACCCGTGTGGAATCATCATCGAAAGGAAATACATCATGTCCTATTTTTTGAGAAGTCAACTAATTTTAATTAATTAAAATTGTAAAATATAGTAACAATATTTATATTTCTGAATAGGTTTGCTAGTATGATTAATCTAATAATGCTTATTATATCTATTATAAATATTACTATTTTTTGAAACAATAAATATTAGTATTTTTTGTATATATTAGATCAAACTTGGCTCCTGTTGACTCAAAAAAGCGAGATGGAGAGTATCGGCAACTGCAAATGAACTTTACAAACCTCACCACAAATATGAAGCGCGGAGATAAAAGTGTACCATCACAGGACGACAATCAATGGCCAAACTATTCAGATAATTTCCTGAGTAAAATTGTCATCAATTTGAACATCGCACAATGCTATCATTGCTCGTAAAATCAAATCAAATCAAATCGCGAAAGCCAAGAATACTTAACAGTGTTCATCTGCAAGCTAAATCGTTCCATCAACACCAGAACAAATCAGAAGCTAAACCAATCAATCAGATATAACTGTTTCCAACACATCAGGCGTTTCGGTGTCAAAACTGGGAGGGTGTTTGCTGGTGTGTGGAGGTCCAACTTAATCGATGCAGACGTATTTGAACTAGATAAGAGTCGATAATTAGCTTATACTAGAGCTCGCAAGAGGTCTGCCGGACCGATGTAGCCTTACGAACAGAAATATAAGCCATGACGGTACTTACAGACAATCCGGAGATCGGCCGGACCGATGCAGCCCTATTTGTTGAAGAACTCGCCGAGATCTACAATACTCCTACTCCTGAGGGTTAGCGTAAAGCCGAAAAAAGTAATTGATATTGATTGATTGGATGTCTTTTACAATAGCCAGGGTCCAATGTTTATATTCGGAACCTAAGCATGAATACTACTCAAATACGACTCATTACAATCTTTGGTATAAGAGAAAACATTACTAACTTAAGATAACTTGGACCCTAATCTTTCCCCCTTTGTAGAGTCCGACATGTCTTTCCCGACGCCAACCGTAGCTCATTGATGCTATCTGCTGATGTCATCCGAAGAGAGCCGATCCCAGTGCCGCATCTGAATCAGCTGATATCGATCCTTATGCAATCGATTCCTTGATGGCACAATCTTGGAAGCTTCGAGTTCCCGCGTTCTTCTTTCCAAATTTTGGTGTAAATAAGACCACCGACGAGTAAATTTGTATTTGCGCGTCTCGCTCGGATGGTGTGCTCGGAGGACATAAGGGTTTATACTGGTTCGGGCGGAACGTCCCTACGTTCAGTTCGTTGCTGCTCGTGTTACCGGCACTTGGTTTGCAGTAGGGGTTACAAACATGCAAGCGAGAGAGGAAGAGGATCCCAAGTCTCTGATGGAAGGAGTGAACGGGTGCTGAGAGCTCGCTTGCCGCTCAGCCGTGTGCTCGTGTCGTGCTCTTGTGCCCTGATCCCCCCCCTTCATGGGACACCCTGCTTCCCCTTTTATAAGCGAAGAAAAAGCGCGGGTCACGGAGGAGAAAAATGAGAAGAAGGCTTCTAGGGTTGCCAGGTCCTTCTTCTCCTTCATGCGGGTCCCGCCGATCCTGTAGATGTCAACAGGGACGGCTCCATGTCGAGGCCCTGTTCATCACTGGCGCCATGCGCAGGCGTCATCTGCCGGTCATGACGTTCCACTCCGTCCCGACGGACGTCGTGATGAACTGATGTGCCTGTCAGCGTCCGTACGAGGATTAGGCAGAACAGCACCGGCACGCCTGCCACTGTTCTTGATGTGAATCCCAAGGTATGGCCCGTCATGGCTATGGAGCACGCGGCCTTGGCGAGACGGAACCCGCGTCCTTGGGGTCGGACGAGACGGAGCCCGCGGTCTTGAGATCAGGCGAGACCTTTTAATACGTCTCGAGTCATCCGGAGAAAGTCAGCGTGGGCGCTAACTTTCTTGCTTTGGGTATCCCTAATATCGATGCCCGACACTTGATGACTACTCATACAGTGCTCTGTTTCGTGATTTTCTTTTCTTTCATTCCCATACGGAGTAGCGCTGACGTGGCTTGCCCTTGAAAATAGCTATTCAAAGAGTTACATATAAAAGATAAATTATGTTTAGATACATACTAAAAACAATATCTTAGAAGTAATCTAGAATAGAGAGAGTACTTCCGTCTAACAAAAGATGTGTTTTTCGTTTTTTCAAAGTAAAATATTTTTAAGTTTGATTATAAATTGATAAAAATAGTAACATTTATGATATAAAATAAATATTATTAAACTAATGATATAATTTATTTTCATTGTATATATATTTAAAGTCAGTATCTACAAATTTTCTTTTTTGGGACGAAGGTAGTAACAATACTTCATCATAAAAAAGAAAATACATATCCTGTTTTGGTAAGTCATCTCATTTTAATTTACTTAAAATTATAGAATATAGTAACATTATTTGTATTTCTGAATAGGTTCACAAGTATGATTAATCTAATAATACTTATTCTCTATTATAAATATTAGCATTTTTTGTATATATTTGATCAAACTTGGCTCTTGTTGGCTCAAAAAACGAGATGGAGAGAGTATTCAATTATCACATCGACAACTGCAAATGAACTTTACAAACTATCCTCACCACAAATATGAAGCACCAAGATAAAAGTGGTACCATCACAGGCGTCAATCAATGGGCAAACTATTCCATTCCACATAATTTCCTAAGTAAAATTATCATCAATCTGAACATCGCACAATGCTATCCATGATTTTAAATCCAATCAAATTGCGAAAGCAAAGAATACTGAACATTGTTCATCAGCAAGCTAAATCGTCCCATCAACACCGAAACAAATCAAAAGCTAAATCAATCAATAAGATATAGTTGTTTCCAACCCATCAGGCGTTTCGGTGTCAAGAGATGCCGGTGTACAGTTGCAGTTCCATCCAACAGAATGTCAAGATGATACAGACCATGCCCAAGAGCTGAATCTACTTCTTGGGCAGGGCCATTCAGTCATACCTCTATGCTAAACATATGCTCCTTGCTACAGTTGAGTGGAGCAGAGATGGTCATTTACGCTCTGTTGACTAAATTGTAATTAGCCTATACAAACTGCAAAGATATGACAGAGAATTTTAAAACCTATTCCTGCTGCAAGATCAAGGATGCAGGTAGCTACAAGATGCACCCTTTCTCCCGCACTTGAGAATATACATTAGCCCCTAGTTTGTCCCTTTGAACTTGATCTTGATGACCCACAGCTGCCAAATCTATCAGACCTACTCCTAGAGTGATTTGAACTAAGTAGCCAAGATTCACTGATTTGGGAGTACCTGCCACGGTGATGATGACTCAGTTGGCTGCCCCGATTAGCATTATCAGGAGGGTTCAAGCCCTTGTTGTTTCCAATGGCCTCTCCAGAAATAGAAACACTGGAATTGGTGGTTTCCTGCTTCCTTGATTCTTCCAAATAGCTTTTACTCGAGGGCTCTGTTTTTTCATTGCTATACATGCTGAGATTCTGACTAGTAGTCCATGTAGTACCCCAGTCTAAGCTCTGATTGGTTGATGCTTGAGAACCTAAAACTCTGGTGCTCTCATCTACTGATGATGTTGACATACCATTTGGTATTGATGGGATCTAAAGTAGTGAAAAACACAATGTCATATGAAAAGTATACAGGAAATAAATGACATTAAAATATTGCAACACCATTACCTGATCAGACAGCATCCAATCTGCAACAGCACTCAAGTTAGCCTGGTTCACATTTTCCTCCTCAATCATTGATCCTCTTTGAAAAAAAACACTATTAACATGGGTCACAGCCACCTCGTTGATATCATATGTTTCCTTCCCCTCAGTTCCAATACCTGGTGGAGAGAAAACAGATGATTCAACAATAGAATAGAATTAATGAAGAGTTCTGGAAATGCTAATCATCGACACGCTGACTAACCAGATGAAGGTTGGAGCATAGGTCTTGGTGAAAGCAATGGCCACATATCATTGATCGAATCTTGAATACCCCATAGTGCAGAATTAACAGCATCACCTTGGTAGTAACTAGGTTCACCCCAAGGAGATAATGCGATAGGGCTAGAGTAGTGTGGTTCTTCCTCGGCTGAAGCGGCTAGGAAGTCCTCTACTGATCCTGGCATGTACGAAGTTCCACCCCTTTCTTCCATTAAGGATTCCAATACAACTGACACATCTATCGACTCAGCACCAAAGGAAGGATCAATTAACAAATTCTCTCTTGTAGCAACAATAGATTCACTCTCACAATATTGTTCTTTTTGAATAATTTCTTCACCTTTAAAATCTGATTTCGCGTCACCTAATTCCCCAGTTGGAACACCAGACTTTGGTGGTACAAAGGCATCTGATGAGTGGACATGTTGCTTAGTCATTAAAGTTTCAGGTGCTGCTGATGTTAACCCAGAGCTGTCCACAACAGGTTCCTTAAACTCAGGCCTAGGCATTTCACTAGAAAATCCACGCTCTAGGATATCAGGAGATGGTACAAGGAAAACCTTGGATTGAGGAGATTGAGTAATCGAACCATTTGATGGGTTTGCTTCAAGTATTCTTTTCTCATTCAAGATCTCCTCCATCTTGCATATCTCGGAAGCAGATGCAGAAGTAGAAGTTAGATTTTGAGGCACTGTTGATGTTAACCCTGAGTTATCCATGAGAGGCTTCTCACCCTCGGGTCTTGGACTTGGACTAGGACGTTCACACGCATTATCTTGGTTATCACCAGAAGATGAAGCGAAAACGCTAGAGTGAGGAGATTGATTAAGTGAAGCATTTGATGCATCCACTTCAATTGGTCTTTGCTGATTCACAAACTCCTCTATTTTACATGTACCAGAAGCAGAAGCAGAAGATGTAGATAGAATTCCAGGCGCCACTGATGTAAATACTGAGTTGTCCATAAGAGGTTCCTTACAGTCAGACCTTGGAGTTGGGCTAGGACATTCACGCTCAATATCTTGATTATCGGAAGATACAGTGAAAATGTGAGGAAGCTGGTTAAGTGAAGCATTTGTTGCATCCGCTTCAAGCGCTTTTTGCTGATTCACAAACTCCTCCATTTTGCATGTATCAGAGGCAGAAGTTGTCACTAGCATTTCAGGCGCCGCTGATGTTAATACTGAGTTGTCCACAAGAGGTTCCTTACTGTCAGATTTTGGAGTTGGGCTAGGACATTCAGGCTGAATGTCTTGATTATCAGAAGATACAGGAACACTGTGAGAATGAGGATGATGATTAAGTGGAGCATTTGATGCATCTGCTTCAAGCGTTTTTTCCTGATTCACTGACTCCTCCATTTTGCATGTATCAGAGGCTGCAGAGGTTGTCGTTAGAATTTCAGGTGCTGATGATGTTAACACTGAGTTGTTCACAAGAAGTTCCTTAGTGTCAGATCTTGGAGTTGGACCTGGACATTCACGCTCAATATCTTGATTGTCAGAAGGTACTGGGAAAATGTGAGAATGAGACTGATTAAGTGGAGCATTTGATGCATCTGCTTCAAGTGTTTTTTGCTGATTCACAAACTCCTCCATTTTGCTTGTATCAGAGGCTGACACAGAAGTTGTCGCTGAGTTGTTCACAAGAGGTTCCTTACTGTCACAATTTGGAATTGGACCTGGACATTCACGCTCTATATCTTGATAGTCAGAAGGTACCGGGAAAATGTGAGAATGAGGAGGTTGACAAAGTGGAGCATTTGATGCATCTGCTTCAAGTGTTTTTGGCTGATTCACTAACTCCTCCATTTTGCATGTATCAGAATCATGGGCAGAAGTTGTCGTTAGATTTTCAGGAGCAGCTGATGTTGAAAGTAAACTGTCCACAGCAGGAATCTTATTCTCAGACCTTGGGGTTGAACTGGGGTATTCATGTTTCTTATCTTCGTTATTAGGAGAAGATACAGGGGAAACCTTAGAGTGAGGAGAATGACTATTTGAAGAATTCAATACAACAGCCCCAATTACTTGTTGCTGACTCACGACCTCCTCCATCTTGCATGTATCTGAACCAGGTAAATTCGTAGTAATATTTTCAGGTGATGCTGGTGTTAATCCTGAGCTGTCAACCGCAATGTGCTTATTCTCAGATCTTGGAACTAGACTAGGAAACTCACGGTCAATATCTCGGTTATCAGGAGAGGATACAGGGAAAGTCTTTGATTCCGGAGACTGGTTAACTGAAGCATTCGATGTATCCGCCTCAAGTGTTCTTTGCTGATTCGTGATCTCCATCTTGCACATATCGGAAGCAGATGCCGAAGGGGCTGATTGTGGACTGCAGATTGGAACTCTTTCTGCATGACTCAGCATGCCAGATGGTGAACTAGAACCTCTGTCTTCAATAGGGGTTGCTGGAGCACAGCTCTTAGGCTTTGCAGAAGCAATAGAAGAAGTGAAGTTCATCGAGAAAGCTTGGATTAGTTGTTGAACTTAAGCAAGAGCCTTCATGTTGACTTGAAGCTGTCCTCGACTCGGCCGGACTCCAAGCAAACAAAGGACTGGATACATCTTTCCCGATACGTTGAGTAGGTAGATTTTTTGATAGATCCCGCCTTGAATTCATCAGATCTTTAACAGGTCCTCTTTGTGAACTATTTTTAGATTCATGTTGACTTTGTGACCAGGAAACGTACTGATTCTGATGAGATTCCACATTACCACGTCCACTACAACTCATATGTGCCACGGTAGGACTCCATAGGGTTCCACTGCTGTGATGGTGGTTTGATTCACCAGAGCATCCCTGTATTCCATCAGGGTTCAAGTCTGTGTGCCCATATGAACTCCCAGGAGATTGAATGAAAACAGAATGCTTATTCTGGCAGTGTGCTTGGCTATTCACAGTATAAGCATCCTTCAGTGGAACCGAACTAGTTGATAGCGACAAGCTATCTTCTGGAGAGTACACACTTTCCCTTTCTGGAACAGAATACTTACTATACTGAACAGTTATTCCAGAAGAACTAACCATGCTATGACCAACAGGGGAGAAAGCATTGGTCTGATCCACACTAGGGCTGTTCCTTGTATCTCCAGTGCCAACCAGAGTTGCCTTGCTACTTGTATGTGATGCAGCCTGAGTGAAATCTTTCTGCTGTTTTGAAAGCACTTCAGTCAACAGCAATGATCTCTCTCCACTCTCAAATGTAAGCCATACTCTCAGATCACGTGGGAAGTAACTTGTCCACTTTGATAGTTGCAAAAGAGTAAATGGACCCTGAACATTCCCAGAAGGATCCTTGTAGTGCCAGACTTTCTCCGGCTCTGTGCCATTTGACATTGTTACTCCAGAAGATGAAAGTGATCCAGCTTCATACATAGTTCTGTTTGCTGTGCTGTTCTCCAAACTTCTTGCCCCTGATTCACAAATTGTACTTTCTGTGGACAAGCTTTTTGGATGGTGGCTAGAATCAGAAACTTTTTGAGGATGGTTTTGCTTAGTGCTAAGATATCTTGATATTCTTCGCGATATGGTTGTATCTGGTCTTGTCCGATTTACCGACTTTGCAACTGCATATAATAAACAAGCAAATGCTCAAACACTACACTTAATCAACACTTAGACTCAGAAATGTGATTTATTTTAATGAGTTGATGCTTATCACAACATAAATTCGATGTACAGCATTGCAACTTTGGAAGAAAATTACAGTGCAGAAACTTATACTAGATGGATATTTAGAATATACTCAACAAACCACATGAAATTATGCTACAGTTGCAAGATTTATTCGATACAAGAGAAATAGTTACATTCCAATATTTATTAGGCCAGTCTCAGTGGAGAGTTTCATTACGTTGTTTCCAAGACGACCACGTCATGTAGAATGGAATGAAATATGGATAAAACACCCATTCTCAATGGTGAGTTTCATTCTAGAGTTTCATAGATATTTAATTCCATGACTCATAGAGAGTTGGTATTCGTGCCAAGAGAGTTTCATCCCCATGAAACTCACTTCTTCTCTCTCTTATTAAAAACCTTGCCACATCATCAAAAGCGCTTATGTGGCAGCTCATTAAATGCAAATGAAACTTCCACTGAGACTGGCCTTAATCAACATGCAACTTGAAGCATTAACATTACAGGAAGATATATACCAGTTCTTTTCTCATCTGTTTCTTCAGCAGACTCATAATTAGGATCCATATGTGAGTCAACATGCACTTCCAGAACTTCATTAATCCTACGAGTTCTTTCCTCAGAATTGTCGAGAAGCTGCAGCTTTTCTACATATTCTCTAAGTGTATGATACAGTCAAGGATCACAAAATAATGAAGCATGCAGTACAAGTAGTTGCCTATAGTTCTATAACAAAAATAAAGCTGTACTTGATTATCATGAATATTCACAATTCCTGAGCAAAGGATTACAAGTTATTAGAAGCATGCTTCTCTACTGCGAAGCTATGACAAGAAAATGGGAGCTGCCCTAAGTTAAATAAAATTATAAAAGAAGCATAGCCAATTTTGGTAAGGAGCGAATAAGGATCCAGAAATCAAGAAATGGCAATTCAGTCAATGAAAAACATTATAAGTGCTAATAAAGGCATCACACATCATAATATGGTCAATAGGATATTCTTTTCTGCGCCCAGTTTCACTTGCACGATCACGAAGATGCCCAAGCCTCTGCTTTTCATTTTCAAACCACTGTAAAGATTATAAATACTAGTAAGTCAAGTTTGAGATCTTTTGAAGAAAAAAAACGATCATTGTATACATGTCGAGTTGTCCTTACATCGTTCACTCTTACAGATTGCAATATCATTGCTTTCTCTAGGATATCCCCCTGCATTAATAAAACAAAACAAACACAAATCAAACCTACACATATCTGATGGGCCAAAACGAAATTAGGTCACAAGTGTTCAGTCCCATGTAGCAGTACCACTTTTAGTCTGCTAATTACACCACACTTCATGCTCTGCCTTAAACGTTTGCACTCCTCCTACACAAGCAAATGTAAATATCAAAACGAGGTAAAAATGAAACCCAATGTAGTTCAACTAAGAGTACCGCCTCTAACTTGGAAGGAAGAACTAGAATTTGATCATATTCCCCCTTGGGTAAAAAGGTACGACCATAAATACCAAGCATTCAACAACACAAACTAGACAATAAAATCAAATAAGGACTTCTAAAAAATGCTACCTCTGGGAGCTAAACATCAGACAGGACAGTAAGTAAAAGATGTTAACCTCTGTAAAATCATGATTAGATATTGTATCCATTGTAATAATCTCCTTTTTGTTTAAATTCAATATCTCAAGTGCAAAATTTGTCATCTTCTTTCCAATGCTATACTTTTCTGGAACCTTGTGTGTTCCTGAACAAAGAAAAGAAAGAAAATGAAAAAAAAAATAGCTCACCGTTAAAACAAACTTTAAGAATAAATTTAATAAATAAGTAAATTATCTTACCAATAACTTTTACGAGACGATATATGTCTTGTTTCTGGCACACATCAGAAATTTTTATCCTCACAAAACCACCATGAATTTTGTCTGAGAATTTGGCATCATCAATTAAATCCTCCATCAGGCTGCGCCTCATGTAAATCAAATTTATATTATGCATGTCAACTGCTGCATAATCCTCAAGATTAACTTGTGTATCTCTTTCCATCTTTCTATGGATCCTTCTCTTATCAGGAGAAAATTTTGCAGCCATGTCATTGTATCCATTGGTATCTACATGAGCTGAATTGAGACTGATAGTCACTTGGCTACTATCAGATACTGTTGAAGTCTCATTCATAGGAAAATGCATTTCCAAAAGCTTTAACATCTCAAAGTGAGCAACTCGTGCTTTCCTGAACAAGCGGTGAAGTCTCGAGTCACAAATAATTTGGCTTTTCCTCTGAGGATCGCGAAGGTTATTCTTCTTGATATAATCAAGCAGAAGAATCTGAACATCAAACGGAGAAATGAAAGATTGATCGCCATCTCTCATGTGTCCTATAAACTCCAATAGCTCTGGTGATGCCCATTTCATGTTTGGTGGCAAGGGCACTGGTTCATTTGGTACTTTTGTGTCTACTGGCAAGGGTATCCGTCCATTTGGTACTTTTGTGTCTACTGGCAATGGCACCCGTTCATTTGGCACTTCCGTGGGAACGCTCTCAGTATTTCTAGTTGGAAGCTCGACCTTTTTTGCAGCAGTGCTACAATCTTTATTTACCTTTCGGCGTTTTTGACCCTTTTTCCTTGAATTAGTTCGCCTTCGTTTTCTTGAGCAGCAGTCAGAACCAGCATCATCATCATCATTAGCGTCAAACAGGTCATCAGACGACTCCTCTTTTTCTTTCCTAGCAGAAGTGCTAGGAACATTCCATCTGTTCTTGGCAGTAGTAAGTTCTTCCAATGTTAATGAAAGCTTCCCTTTCAGATCTAACCAATATAGCTTGAACAGGTACTCCCAGCTGAGTATGTCATCAAAATCAACCTGCAATAGACACATAACATGAAAAAGAAAGGGTCAATTGGGCATGTAGGGAAGTGCATCAAATCATATGTGAAATATTTAGTTTCTCAAAGTATGGACCATATGAGGTTCGGTGCTAAGCAGGACAGTGCGGCTTGTGGGCTAGATAGGCAAAGAATAAATATTAATCTCTCAAAGAACAGGAGCGAGTGAATTGTTAGAATTATTTGCTCTTTTACTGTAATCTCCTAGCTAACTGTGCAGGCGCCAGCTATACTGGCCCTTTCACACTGCTGGCCCCTTGGGCCATCCCCTCTCTCTCCTATAGAAGTGTAATCCCTTCTGCAATCATTTATTAAGGAATATACAAAGCCTAATGGCCTTTGTCTAATATGGTATCAGTCTAATCGTATCCCCTACTTCCGCTACTTTTTGCCGCCACCCAGCCTGACCAGCGCCTCTCCGGCCAAGGCCAGCTCTTCGCCCTTATACTTAACGCCACAGCATCTCCTCCTCCCGCCCATTGTGCCTTACCCGCCGGTTCCCGTACCCATGGCTGCTCTTTCCTCCTCGTGGCGATTCGGCTCGGCGCCTCAGCCGCCCGCCCATGACAAGCTCATGACGAGCGCGCGCCGCCGCCAAGGCTCGAAGTTGAGGCCGCCTCCTGCGCGACTCAACCAGCGCAGCAGCGCTTAACTCAAGGAGGAGGCGAACCTCCTCAAGTCCGCCCTTGGCGCCGTGAGAGCGGGTCGCGCCGCCGCCGCTCTCGACTTGGGCGCGGCGGTCGACTTCTTTGGAGCAATGAGCCGCTCATGACCCCTGGCAGCAGCTCCACCCCAGCACCACCGCAATGACGACTTCGGAGGCGGCGTCGACTCCATCGCCACGGAGACTGCGGCTGTCGCCCATCTTCATAGCCAGGCGGCCGCTGTGCAGAACATCAAGAACCTCATCCCTATTGTTCTTGATCTGCAAGCCTCAAACTACTCCAAATGGCGTGGTTACATCCTCGCTCATCCTCGGCCGGTTTGCCACGGGACCACGTCCTCGGCCGACGCCATCCACCTCCACGATGCGGCATGGTCCCGCATGGGACCGTGTTGTCGTCTCATGGATCTTCAACACCATCGCCCCGACCTCCTCGGCGTCGTCCCACGGCGCGTGATGGCATCATCGCCGGGCGGCGTGGCTTCGACCTCGGCGGCAATTCTTCAACAACCGTGAATCACGCGCCATGCTCCTCAACGCCGAGTTCGCGCTCTCGCCAGGTGCTCTATATCGTGGATGAATATCTTGCCGCAAGATGAAGCACACATGGACGCGCTCGCCGACCTTGGCGAACCCGTCTGGACCGGACCCTAGTGTTGAATGTCCGCGCGGCCTCAACGAACGCTTCTAGTTCATGTCGCGGCTTCGTCACGAGGCGAAGCCCTTCCCATCCTTCGCCGAGCGTCCGGCTTGACTGACCGAGGTGGCGAACTCAACATGGCGTCACCTTCAGCTCCGCCCTCGGCCCCTCATCACCATTGCCCGTCCAAGAAGCCTTTGCTCCGCCCCCGCTCCTCGGCGCCCTCCACGGCTTCCTTTGGGGGCAGCGGCTTCAGCCACACCCCTTCTCCTTCACGCCATCCTCAGTTCTTTGGGGGCAGCGATCCAAGAACGGCAATAATCGCGGACGACGTCGCGCGGTGTGGACGCGGCCAAAGCGACGCTTAAGCCCGGCACTCAAGCGGCCCACCAAATGGCCAACATGGCCATCCTTCTTCAACCCATGGACCGGGTCCATCCAGATGTGGCCGGGTCCAACCCAGCGGCTCTCGCGGTCCGCGTCCACGTGCCTCCACCTCCACCGCCACAAGAAGCTCTCATGGCGGGGTGCCCCGAGTTTACCGGCTCCTCCGCGGCGGTCCCGGGGCATACTACCAGCGCCCACCACCGCGTCGCTCTGGACTCTCGAGGGCCTCGCCAACGCTTTCAAAGACCGTCACCCTCGCTCCGCCGTCAAGCACCTCGGATTGGGTCTTCGACTCGGGTGCTTCCTCTCACATAGCCGGCACTCCTGGTATGGTCACCATGTCACCAACCTCCTCCTTTCCTTCTTCAATTGTTGTGGGAAATGGCGCCACTCTTCCGGTTGTTGGCACCGGCTACTCAACCCTCCCTGGCCCATTTCGCCTCAACAATGTTCTCATTGCCTCTGACATTATTAGAAATCTCTTGTCAATTCGGAAATTCACCACTGATAATCTTGTTTCTGTCGAGTTTGACCCTCTTGGTGTTTCTGTGAAGGATCTTCGTACCAAGAACCTCCTCCTTCGCTGTGACAGCTCGGGACCCCTCTACACCTTGCAGCTCCCGACATCACCATCCGGTTCCTGCGCTCTCGTGGCCACTCCCTCCTCCACTACTTGGCATTATCGGCTTGGTCATCCCGGGAAGGCTACTCTTCAGACTCTTGCCAAGTCGTCCTCCATCATCTCTGCAAAGAAAGCGACGATGACACTCTCGCCATGCTTGCCAGCTTGGGCGTCATGTCCGCTCGCCTTTTAACAATTCCTTGTCTCGTGCAACTAAAAATTTCGACTTGATACATTGTGATTTGTGGACTTCCCCAATCGTCAGTGTATCTGGTTTCAAATATTATCTAGTCATTATTGATGATTGCTCGCATTTTGTTTGGACTTTCCCTCTTAAGCTAAAGTCTAACACCTTTAATGCTCTCTCCAATTTTTTCGCCTATGTGCTCACTCAGTTTGGTTGCACCATCAAGATCATGCGATGTGACAAGCAGGCGTGAGTTTGACAACTCGCGTCTCGCGCTTTTTTTTCGCCAAAGGTGTCACCCTTCGCATGTCATGCCCCTACACCTCGCGACAAAATGGCAAAGCCGAAGCGCATGCTTCAGACCGTCAACAACGCCACCCGCACCTTGCTCTTCCAAGCATCCATGCCCCCACTTATCGGGTGATGCCCTTGCCACCGCCACTCTCCTCATCAATCGCCTCCCAACCAAGACCACGAACATGAGCACTCCCTTCTTTGCCCTCCATGGCACTCTCCCTCCTACCATGACCTTGAGCCCGGGTGCACTGCTACCCCAACCTCACCGCCACCACTCCTCACAAGCTCGCTCCACGATCTTCCTTGTGCGTCTTTCTTGGCTATTCTCCGACCACAAGGGGTATACGTGCCTTGACCTCGCCACAAACCGCGTCATCATCTCACGCCACGTTGTCTTCGACGAGACGTTCCCTTTCTCCCTCCGTCGACCTTCGCCACCCACACACACGAGCTTGACTTTCTAACTAACGGCGATTCGTCGTCGGTTTACTTCCACCTGCAGGTACACGTGTGGGTCTTTGGCCCTCTCCGCCACCGTGTGCCCTCCGGCCAGTGCCCACCTTGGCGCACTGGCCCCTCCAGACCTCCATGGGCTCCTCTCCGGCTCGACAGACAGGCAGCGCCCACGGCTGACGCCCATGGCGCCCTCGGGACAGGCGCCCACTTCGTCGGCGCCCATGGCGCCCTCTGCTCCGGTGCCCACGGGTCCTTCTGTACAGGCACCCGTGGTGGCACCCCCTGTAGGCTTGTAGGCAAATAACATAACACCAAGTTGAACTGAAACATGTTTATGAGGTTTACCTTTGTTGCACTTTCATCTTTGGATTCTATCAAAAGTATAGTCCCATAACATGTGTCGCAGAAGCCCTTTGTCCCCCTGACACTGAAGAATTTACCCTTCTTGATGCACACTTTGCAGAGGGAGTATGTACAAGTGTAGCACATGTAGTGCACTGCCTTTTCACAGCTGCTGCATATGTGCCAGCCTGGCATACAAAACGACAAGAAACACAGAACAAACAGTTAAGCGGGTTTACCATTTCAAGGTTAAACATCGCATTAAGATACATACTCCATCTTCTACTATCAAAAATCCGAACAAGCTGAGCTTCATTACGGAACTACGCATCAGTTATCATCACACCCTCACAAACAACAACATGGTACACCTCAAAAACAAAAACATATCGGTTTGTACATTTGCATAAAAAAGGAGGAAAAGAACTAGACAATCACAATCACAATAACTGAACGTAACCACGCAAAGAGCCTACAGAAACACATCCCAGAAACTTCTGCAGACAAAAACAGGAATTCTTCAATGATAAAAGATAGGCAGTTGAGCATTCATACCGAAGATACTAGGTTAATGAATCGAATCACACGTGTGAATACAATGAAGCACACAAAAGGTGTTGTAATCAAGATTATTTATTGCCCATGACATGATACGTGACCAGTGTCACCAGGGAAGTGGTACAATGCCACGTTCCTTGTCCTGGGAGCGCGGAAAACAGGAATTCTTCAATGATAAAAGATAGGTAGTTGAGCATTCATACTGAAGATACTAGGTTAATGAATCGAATCGCACGTGTAAATACAATAAAGCACACAAAAGGTTAATCAAGATTATTTATTGCCCATAACATGACACGTGACCAGTGTAACCAGGGAAGTGGTACGATGGCACGTTCCTTGTCCTGGGATCGAGGAAACAATCTCGTCCCGGCCTTGGCAAAACCTTCCTGAAGTAGCATACCACGTTCCTCGACCCAATCGATCTGGGAACTCAGTTACTGTGCACGTGACTGTTCTCCACCACACGTGATGTATTCTACTTTCCCTTTGGACCTGTCTTCTTAGCTATCAGTTATCACTTACCATGTTAGCTATTCACGTTTCTAACGCGGCAGTGTACGGAACAGTAACCCCACTCAAAGTAAGTAAGGGAATGCAGACTCATGATACGAGCCATCTGATTGGTAGAGGCAAGATTATTGTCTCAATATCGGGAACCTAAGTCCATTAGCATTGTCCGAGAAGCTAGCGACACACGAGCCCCGTGGGAAGCATGCGCGAACTCATGATACGAGCCATCTGATTGGTAGAGGCAGGATTATTGTCTCAATATCGGGAACCTAAGTCCGTTAGCATTGTCCGAGAAGCTAGCGACACACGAGTCCCATGGAAAGCGTGCACGAACTATCGGGAACCTAAGTCCGTTAGCATTGTCCGAGAAGCTAGTGACACACGAGCCCCGTGGAAAGCGTGTGCATGTCTAAATCAGTTCAAAAATAGCATTGTTTGCAAGTGTATCCAACCAACCAATATTCACTTCACACAATTGCTAGGAAAAAGAAATATAACCAGTAACACATGCATGATTCCTAATTTTGGGTATTAGAATTGCGCCGCAAGAAATGCGAAATAATCCCACCCTGCCACAACAGGTTTAAGCAATGGATGAATGAAACTCACCGCAGTTCCACTTGCTCCGGCACTGGAAGAATGCCTCGTCACGCTTGATGCACGCCGGATGGTAGACCTTGGGGCAACCCCTGGAGCAAGAAACAGAGACGACGAGCAGGCGGGTCAGTCAATCCCCAATCCGAAAGAGAGAATAAAAAATTCCAGCGCGCAATTGCGGAGGCAACACGTGCGGGGCAGAGAGCCTCGGAGAACCCCCACGACGCGTCCCGCAGTCAACACGGAGGGAGGAGCAGGAGCGCGCGCTGCACGGGCACCCACCTCCGATCGCAGACGACGAGGTTGCCCCCGTCGAAGCAGATGAAGCAGACGACCTCCTCCTCGTCCTCCCTCCTCCTGGCGGCCCGGGCGGGCGGCGGCGCCGGTACCACCGCCCCAGCCCCCGCGCCCGCGCCGTCCTTCCTCTTGGGCGGCCTCCCCCGCTTCCGCTTCTGCCCGAGCTGCTGCGGAGGCGGCGGGGTCGGGAGCGGGGGCGGTGGTGGGTCCGCCGCGTCCCCGATGATCGAGCTCAGGAAGTGCGGATCGTCCGTCCCCGCAGGTGGCGGCGGGTCCGCGGGGGGCGGCGGCGGCGGGAGGCGGAGCTCGGGCGGCCAGTCGGCCTCCGCGGGGGCCGGGGACGCCTGCGCGGCCCCATCGGGCGCGGCGGCCTCCATGGATCGGTAGGGTTTAGGGCCCGCAGCGTCGCCGCGGCCGGGGAGCGTGGGAGCGGTGGTCGTCGACCACGGGGGGGACGACGTCTTCCTCGTCTCCCGCCGCGGCGGTCTCGTCTAATCCTGGGTGCTGCTGCCGGGCTCTCGCGTCGTGTACTCGCGTGCGATGACTACCCGTGAGCCCCCAACCGCCCCTGCCTCCCTTTCCCCGCCCCTGTGGGCGCGTGGGGGCAGAGAGGGGAGAAAGCGAGAGCTGCTGTGCTGCTTGCCTGGCTGCGTCTCCCCGGGGGAATGTCAATGAAGTGGAATGGAACGGAACGGAACGGAACGGACGGAAGAGGGGGGTGCCGGAATAATTCGCGGGGTTGGGAGGGGCCTTTCGGCATGAAGGCGATCCGGCGGAGGTGCGGTCGGCGTCAGCTGCTGCCGTCCGCTTTTGGTTCTGGAGGACTTGCAGGGGCCCCAGTGGGAGCGCACGCGACTGATCCATTCCGTGCAGGCGTCCAGTGGGGCGGACACGCGGTGAGGGCGACACATCACGCGGGACGGGGGCCGCCACCCGCCAGGGGGCCGTGGATTTCCCGGTTCTGCCCCCGCGGACTCGGGGATTTCGCGCTGGGGGAGCGCGAGCGTGACGGCGGGCGAGACGGCGTCCGAGTGGCTAGGTGCGGTTAATAAAGACGGGACCATGGGAGGGGGAGACTAGCCTACGGAGTAGCCTAGCGCACGGCGCACGCTGCACGCCACCACGCCGGCCACGGACTGGACTCGGTGCGGCATGGCCCGGATGGCAGAAACAGGCCCCCTTTGTTTTGTTTTTTGGGGGCCTTGGCCTTTTGGTCCGCCGCGTGGTTCGCGAGCGACTCCGTGTCCGTCCATACTCGGATACTCCCCTCCTGCCGTTGCTTTGACTGACTCGGTCGGCTGGAAGTTGGAACGGACTAGCAGCCGCCCGCAGGCTGCCTGCGGCGGCCACACACCAAAGCCGTCGCCTCCGGCCGTCCGTCCGTCCCTGTCGCGTGTACCAGTACTAGTACTAAGCGTGGCCCAGACTAGTAGACTGGTAGGAGGAGGAGCAGAGGAGGAGCACGACAGCTGCTGACCGCTCGGAATCTGAGACCCTCGCTTTTCTGTCTCTCCTTCCCTCCCGCCGGGTACGCCGCACGTGTGCGTGCGGGTCCGTGCGGCGTGACGCGCATGCCGAATGGCACGCCTGCCTATCCTTTGCTTCTGCTTTTTTTTGCTGGGTGCATTTTTCTGTCTCTCTTTCCACCGCCGCTCGGACCAAAGGAGAACACGGACGATCAACTGCGGACGATGATGATGCGCTGCGCTGCAGTGCGATGAAGGTCCGCAGGCATTGTCTTTCACCGTTCGTTTTTTGTTCTCACCCGTGCGTCGGTGCTTGTTACAATGCGAGCATAGAGACTAACGTAGTATTACGTGCTTTAGTATTATTATTATCAGCTAGCAAAACAACAAAAGTAAAGTGACAGTGACACGCTTTGGTGTTTCTTTTGGGACAGACGGACTGGAGGAAGAAGCAGCATCAGCATCCGCCACACTGCCGCGCGCGACGCAAAATGACACATTTGCCTATTTGGTGCCACGGCTCCACCACAGCTAGCGCGGCCATCAGTGGGTAACAGAGGGGGATGCGACTATAAAGAAGTAACAAAATAAATAGCAATATAAATACTATTAGCATGGTCAAAACTATTAAGATAGGCAAAAATACATTACGTTACCTTTAATTGTCATCAAATCTGCGTTCTTGCATTTTTCTTGAAACGACGAATCACGGACTCATTCGTGATTTTCGTCACTTCTTCTTTCTCCACGTAGCAAATAAGACAATCGCTCATAAATTGATCACTGATGCGGTTGCGCAAATTCGTTTTCACAATCTTCATGCCAGAGAAAATCCTCTCTCACTGTAGCAACAACAACTGGCAGTACTAGTACAAGCTTCAAAAGTCGATAAACCAGTTGGTAACGTTCATGTTTTCTAGTCTCCACCGTTTCCTGAGAAAGCTCGGCAATAGTTTGTATGCTGGAGAACCTATCATCATCTCTCACATCAAATATGTAGAGGCCAAGTTTGTTGCTAAGGTCCCTCAGATTCCCTAAAATCAAAATCATGTGGATAAAGTTTTGCTAGGCTCAACAACTTGTCCACATTAAAATCACAAAAGTCTCTTGGACTAAAGGTCCCGTTCGACTTACTCCATATCCGACTTTTTCAGCTTCTTTTTTTAGCCGGAACAGTGTTTTTCTCTCACAACATTTCAGCAGAACAGTGTTTTTCACCAATTTTAGTCAAGATTCAGCAAGCCGAACGGGGCCTAAAAGAGGCCGAGCATGCAAGCAATTGAGAGCTTGTCTCGTTGAAGCGGTTGTCAAGCTCTTGAAGTAGACAATCAATAATATCATTGAAACAATCTATTTGATAGTAATGCTTGTTTGTAATTCCAGATTTGTGCCTCCTCTTCTTTGGATCAATATATTCATCTTCCATTTCCAATTTGGAAATATCATTCTAATCACAAAATCCATACACATCATCTAATAGTTTTCCCCACTTTCCTCAAACCCACAGCCATTTGTTCTTTCCAAGAAACATCTCTTGACTCATCAACTAGCAAGCAAAAAACATCATTCCCAATTTTTTCTAGAATAGCCTGTAGCACCTCCTTTGCAAAAACAATGCACAATGTCCCTTTGTATTTCAGGAGAAACCAAAAGATTATTTTCTGATTTTCCTTTACTTGTTGCCTTTCTTAAGACTGGGATTTTGCTCTGCTGCAAAATCACAAAATTCCCTGAAATTTTCTCTATTTAAAGAATCCTTCGACTCATCGTGGCCTCGGAAAGGCAAGCTTTGCTTTGCTAACATTCTAGCAACATCATTATACCCATTCAGTCGAGTAATATAGTCTCTCTTAGCACTTTCATTTACATCACGGAAAGCCACATTAATGTGTTGTCTTGTTTGCAACAAATCATCACACTTCTTCATTGCTAGATAGTGTGAGCCACCAATATCACCCACATGATCTTTGAGCCTTTGTTTTCTATTAAAACCATTCCAACCATTTTTCACAAAAAGCTTCATATCCACCCTCCTTCTTTTCTCTGGATAGGAAACACGAAAAAACAATATGCCCTGTCTTTAGATTCACTGTATTCAAGCCAATTTCCAAACTCATCGAAACAAGGCCCTTTTTCCAAGTACTTCCTTCTCACCATTTCTCTATGATTAGGATGGTAGTCATCAATTTATTTCCGCAACCCTGGATCATATTTAATCTCCTCTTCTCAGTTGATATCATCCAAACACAAATTGCGAACATTGTTGGCACTATCTGGCTCTAGCGTTTTTCTTTTGTAGAATCTTTCCATCGATTAATTTGTCATTAGTACATTGTCTAGTAAATAACTTGAGAAAGAAATAGAGGCAAATATCTACAAGAGTACAAGACTAAAGCTACAGACCTAAAATAGTACTTCGTACCTTGAAAGATTGAATTCTGGATGCCTGGACACTGGACTGTAGACTGGCCAGACAGGAGACAACACCTTTGAGCTTTCTGAACTTCAGCAGACAGTAACGTTGCAAACTGAGGCACTCCGCACTCACCACTCAGCGACCAGAGTTGTGGCCGGATGCCTGGATTGCAGGATTGCAGAGGCGCAGACAGCAGGCTTGCTCCAAGGGATAGCTACAACTTTTATGTAAAATGTATCTTCATTTGACAGTGTATAAAAATGATATTATTTTTCTAATGCAAGAAGCACTTGTACGCTGTTATTATGCTCCTGAAATTATATATTAGTTTTATGAGCATCTTAGCTTTATCAAATGAAAAAACTCAAAACTACAAAATTGTAGATCTTATCGAGAGCTACAATTTTCATATAAATTTCATCTTCATCCGATATCATATCAAAGAGTTATGATTTTTTAAAGGTTTTGTCTGGTTACGCCACTCCCGGTAGCGCGGCAGAACAATACTGTCGCGCTAGCGGAGTGGCGTGACAGCGTTTTCATGTCAGAAACGCCGTCTAATGTGGCGGATGTTGCCGCACCAATACATGTGGCGCGACAACGTTAGTCGCTGGCGCGATCAAAAAGGTCAAATCCGCAAATTATTTTTAGAAGCAATTATTATTAAAATATTGAGTAAAAAGGATTAAAAAATAAAAATTCTCCTGCAGACCACTAGCTAGGGCACCGTAGCTGGCTCGCACTCGCACCGTCGCACGCACGCCTCTCCACAGGAGACAGGTTCCAGGTACACTCCGGATGTGCAGATAACATGCGTGCGAGTACGTGAGGATCAGTGAGCACATACTAGTATGCATGCATGCGTTTCGCTTTATTTCACTGACGATTGACGAAGAACATATGCCAATATGATCGCCTCCATGTCCTGGCGATACGATGCTTATCTGTAACAGTTAGCATCTTCTGGTTTGCGAGGTTCACGAGGCTTGGTTGCATAATCTAACCTAGTTTGCATAGCACATACTAGTAAAGATGAGCAAACGAGTCGCCCGGCCCGGTACGGCACGGAAGGGCCCGCTGGGCCACCGGACCGTGCCGCACCAGTTCTTCGTGCCTAGCTGACGGCCCTCCGGGCCATTTTCCGTGCCGGGCTGGCCCAAAAAGCACGGGCCCAATAGCGCACCGGCCCGGCCCGAGGCCCACATATGCCATACACAGAGATTCTAAAAAACATACAGAGAGAGAGGGAGGAGGCCAGAAGGGGAGGCAGGGGGCTCGACGCCGATCTGGAGGAGGCGTGGAGGAGCTCGGCGCGCTCGTCCTCGAGCAGCTTGACACCGGATCCGGAGGAGCCGCTCGAGGCCGGCCACCGCGCTCGACGCCATGGGGGAGGAGCTGTCGCCGAGATCTCGATGGGGAGCGCCATCGCCCGCCGCTAAAGCTTCACCGCTGGCACTGCCGGTTGCTCGGCCTTCCCGACGGCCTCTCGCGGGGG